AAGTAAACAAAGTAAACAAAGTAAACAAAACCAACTTTGATTTGAAATTTTATTCAGTCAGTTTACGACCTCTTGCAATTTTTTACATGAATTTTCCCAGTTAATTTAGCACAGTTTATCACTCTGGGAGTGATAAACTGTACTTTGTTTGAAATGGAATTTACAAATACACCATGGTTTTAGGGGAAGAAGTGGGAACTACTGTCCACGAGGTGTGGTTCAGCTTGACTAGCTTGACAGTCAAACTGACATACACCGAGGGACCAGTAATTCCCACTATTTTCCCGAAATAAACCATGCTGTATTTCTTTTACTACACCTCATACATATTCAACCAGAAATCTCACGTTACTTGTACTCACAGACACTATTTTTTTTCTCAGCTTCTAAATTTCCATGTTACGACAGTGGAGTGCAGATGTGCACAGAAACATGGCTTAAATAGTTAGGTGCTGACATACGTTTTTGGCCATGTTCCCTAAAGATTGGCACACACCACACATTTTAGGGATTTTATGATGCTACCAGAAAAACCTACCCTACGGCAGTGAGGTGGATCATGACGTCACCTGGTTGCGTATTATTTCTACTTCCCAGACGCGAGGTGGAATCGGCTAATGATGCACTGCAATTTGCTCTTGAATACTTATGTTAGTATAAATACAGATTCATTTAGTGTCATCCACATTGTCATAAACAAATTAAACTTTCGTTTAAGCAATTTTAAATTAAAGAAGTGCCTTTGACCGGGAAAACCGGAGCAGCCATACTCCTGAGCATGGTGACAGTTGACGTAAAAATAAGTGTTCTGAAGAAAAAGCTAATAAGAGTACTTAATAACCTAATAAGAGTATTTTTAGTAATGGTGACTGATCGGCGTGTAGCATGAAACCTGGTGATGATGATTGCAAGTGCGATTAGACGAGGCATGTAAGCTTCTACGACTAGTCCTACCAACACCTTCAGTAATCTAGTGCGTACATGCTACATGTACGTGTATACACTATGATGCCATTTACACTACATTAATATTCCAATTTATTATTTAACACACACCTTGTGGTAAGGGTAAATGAATGGTAACCTCTGACAATTATATCAACTCATGCAGATTCGATACACGTACTCAATTAATGATGATGGCGTTTCCTTGGTGAGATGTTCATTCAGGGTAAGCTGAAGTCAGGGATCGATATTTATGACATTTTGTCTAGTACGCGTATAGGACAGCCGAGAGACGGCCTTTGTTGTTGGTAAATGGACAATGAAGGGACAACCTTTTCAAATTGCAAGCTGTATTCACCACAGGCTACATTAAATACTTGGGCAAAATTTGCTTCAGTGGTTGTGGGTGATCATGACCAAAATAAGAAAATTTCCAACGCTGGAAACGAAAGAAGGAAGCAATATGGGCCTATCTCCGAATACAAACTTTAATAAAGAATATAGCCACTGCAGCAGTCATCAGAAACCGATGGATCAGTGTATTCTGAGCAGTTGAAGCACAATTTCATGGCTCTGTGTTGCTGCTCTGTGAATAACTGGCCGAGGGTAGAATTAGACGAAGTACGCGCGGGTGTAGTTTTTAATTTTTTCATTTGAAACCTTTGATCTAACCGAAGATTTTGGATGACTCACAAATGCCAATACAGCCATTTGTAATATTTAAGGGAAAATACTGTGAGCAATTGAAAACTGCTAGACTTTTGCGTTGTAATTCAACTGGAATGTTTTCAAATGCTTGAATAGGAACGTAGATGCAATTTCGGATTAGAGCAACATCAAGCCATCGCAGGATTAACGGACATTAATCCACATTTTAACACAGTATGGCGCTGAATCATTTATATGGTACCCTCTCCGGGCCTAGCTGAACCATGCACGCCATATCGATTCACTGCACTATAATGTCACTAATTACTACATGTAAGTAAAAGAAAAGGTGATATTTAGCGGTCATTTATCGTGTTGGGTTATGAATTTAGCCATTATTTCGCGCGTACACGATAAAGTCTGGACGAATAGTTACGAGAATACTCTCCGACGTCTGATTATGAAGGCTGCACAGGCCAAGGACAGGCGAAAACGCCAAAAAGAAACAACCTTCACGTTTCAGGCAATAGAGGGCGCAATAAGTGAGAGATGGCGCCCTCTTGATCGACAATGGGTCGGGATTTCCAATCAAACCTTGCTCGTGTTGTATAAAGAGTGCCGGCTTTGTTCCAGATAGACCTGTGGAGACATGCAGTTGAGTATACTTTTCTCAGTTCTATAGCTCACAAAAGAGGCGTGCTTTTATCAAGAAACAGTGCAAAAAAGGCAGAAAATGTTTCAAACACATCCGTCTTATCGACTAACTGGAACAACAAACGGTTGAACAGACAAATGGACTTACAGTTGATACCGTTGTCTGCAGCGCATACCTCCGCTGAGTACTCTTCTACTTGTATCTCTGCTATCTTCAAAGTAGGATCGGTGAGTCCGAATTGGGAGCGGTCAATGTCAAGAGTGACGTATCTACTTAGGCGGGGTGTTTCGCAGAGGAACTGGTTCACTGCACCTGCACTGGACTGCTCGGTTGTAGCTGGCAAGCCGCATGGCTGATTGTCAGCGTAGTGTGAGCTAAGCCCGGCCCGAACTACAGTGCCCATGAAACACGGCTCAGAACCTTCAGAGGGTAACAGAAAAAAAAAAGTAATTTGCAGCCAAGTTTCAAACTTGGAAACACAAGTTTCCATGAGAATTCCATTTCAGCTCAGCACAACGAATATTAAAGACTCCAGGACTGAAAATTCGTTGCTTGGTGCATGCTTTCCTCCCATCGTTTATCTGCTCCCCTTCTAAATAAATCGAAAATCTTGCAACATCAATGGGACATCCATATCACATGACATTCATTACAACAGTGTGAAAATAAGCCTCTGATGCACTAAATTGTAAAATACTCTTACCGCATCCTGAATCTCGCAGGGTGACGGTGATTCTTCCCAAGCAATGCTTCTCTTCCAGGTCTATTCCTAATACAGGGTGGGCGTCATCAGCCCCTGGACATAGAGGGGAAAAATAAGTCTGGTTAGGCCCAAAAAAATCTCCGTTTTCTGGTCAGCGCGCGCGTCATCTTAGACCTGCGCGTCAGCAAAAAGGTTTTATTTGGTATAAAAAAGACTTTCAAAAGCTGCCAAACTTGCTTAATCGACTGAAATCCTACTACTGCGTAATTTTAACGTATTTATGATGGGGTACAGTTGAGTAATATGCACAGTAAATGAGTCCCTTTATTTCCCTATACATTTTAGCACTCTTTTTCAGATGACGTCATTTCTATATTATTCGCTAACATCCAGGAACCATGCAGACAAACGAGGTATTGTCTTGTACGTGTGCAAGCTGAAAATGCTTTAAACAGTAAAAAGTGCGGAGAGTCTATTTTAGTGTTGGTAGCGGCCGGCGTTACGTGTGCATGTAGTCACGACGGACATCGTGCGTTATACATGCAATGTACGTACATCATTTCCAGAAAAAAGTGGGGGTAAAAAAACAAGCCGCGTCGCCGCACCACTTTCAGAGCCAACTCCTAACCAGAAGCTGGGGACATTTTTTTTTACCTAATGCATGCACTCCGCTCGCGGGCTGCATGGATCTGTGAAGAGCCATTTCATATCTGTTCCATCTTTCTTTTAATGTGCGAACAGCAATGTCCAGTACACAAACTTCAAAGACACTTTCCGTTCTCAACGTCTTCCGTCAGGGAAACTAATGTCACGGTACTCGATTCAAACTAGATATCCATCTACCCGTAATTCGAAAACATTGAAATCGATTCCATACGGGTTCACTCTTGTTATGAAGAACACTATTGTAACACAACACTATTATTAAAAAAATTGCAAGACTCCCACTTTTTTGAACTTTTATGTTTTTATTTGCTTTTGCACTCCTCTTAAAATAAAAAGTCCTGGTTATAACAGAAATATGGTCCCTGCAACTTTGTTATATAGAGCGTCGCCGACTGTAATATAAAAACTGTGCATATACTTCACACACTCATTTCTTACGGGTGTAAGTGAATAAAGTACAACGAAGTACATTGCTCTTACCATTATGAGCGATGGTCCGTAGATCATTGTCAACAGCTTTCCCAGCAGCGTACTCGGCGGAAAGAGTGGTACTTAGCCACGCTGGTTTATTAGTCACAGGAACAGCTGAAAGGGGGTGGTAGTTTTAAAAAATTGAGGCAAAGTGATTTGAACAGAAAGAATCGAGCGAGAAAACCCATAAAAACCTTGCTCCTATGCATTTTTGTTTCCTTTTCTAAAAGATAATTATGACCACAGCAGACAGGATATCTATTGTCTTGCCTGACGCCGTATGATAATGCATTCCAAATCGGCACTTGTGAATGCTCGCCCACAAAGGAAAACATGCCCTGAAGCGTAAAAAAGTCTTAACAGGGTGGGCAAGATTAAAATTAAACTATTTTGGAAAAATTCCTATAATTAAAGCATTACGTTTGAACAGAGGCAATAACAGGCCATTTCTTCTTACAACTTAAAGATGACATGAGGCGAAGAGCAACGACAGGAAAGCCCGGCAAGCAGCCAAACAAAAACGAGGAAAAGAGAAGCGAATGAAACTGAATGAAACAAACTTAAGGGCAGTCAATTCGGATAGGCGTGTAGCAAGATATTCACCCATTATGATACATATATACCACAGTAATTACTGGCCAAATGCGTCTTTCCAAACAAGGTAAATTAACATTGTAAACTGCGAAACTTTCTTAAGTTTTTCCTTTACTTTGGATGTCTGTTCAAGAAAATTACAAAATGAAGAAATGCAGGTCGAAAGCACCATTTCGAAAGTGCAACATTGCTATTTCGTCGAAAATTAAATGCATGTAGGTTCACATCAATTTTATTCCCGTGGATATCAATACCTTACCTGTAAGCTGACACATTGCATGATTGAACAACGGAAACAACATGATTAAGATGTGCACGTCCATGGTCGCTCTCGAGCCAAATAAGCCTAGGAAGGTGACTCCGGTACCTAGTTGCAAGACCTCCGCGCCTTCACGTGGACTGTTACTGCAGACAAACTTGAAGTCATAAAAAACAGCAAGTTCTGTGTATTATAGTCTACATCGGAACGTAGGATCGGCGCAATGCCCGATCTCCAACGTAAGTCGATGTTGGACCAAATTTATCGAAATGACTCCAGGCAATATAAAATCGACGTCTGCCTGTTAACTTTATCCTCACGCAGATCGATACCAAAGCAAAGTGGCATATGGCTAGATTCCACAGCCGTGTTGACGTCGTAGCATGTACAATGCAGTGCGAAACATCGAATCAAAAGCGGGCTTCTCACGACGCAGGCTGTAATTAAATTAAATCAAATGTAAAGCTATTGCTAGGTATTTTCCCGAGAAATCGCTAAGAACATGTTGCATATAATGCACCATATTCTAAACTATCCGTTTGGATTAGCGCACCCGGAACCTCCATAGAAGATACTGGTTGATGGGGAAAGCTTAAACTCCAAGAATAGGCGAAGACGGTACGTTCCACCGTCCCGTAATAAGAACGTGCATGAACCCCTTTAAGCTCTCGGTGTTCAAAGACGTCTTTCCTACGTGAAACACGGCGTCATCCACTCTTCTTTGAGGAGGTTTGAGAGGCTGAATACAAAATATGCCAAAGTTCAGAGTAAACATGCTGAAATAAGTTGAAAAGCTAAATTCTCATAGCTATAGGCCCTGTTTTTTTTTTCAGAGTACTGTACAGCGGCTTTATGAAATAAATTTGCATAGTACAAATTTAAAAAAAACAATGATAAAAAATGATACAGTTTGTGTATTACGTAAAATTGTCATTACAACATTGTTTTCAAAATAAGTGACGGGGAGAATCACAATAGTGGGTTGGACAGAAACTGTCAAGAAGTGCCGCTTGTAAGTTTCCCTTTACTTTATTTCTGTCTTATTTCAACACAGATCTTTTCATTCGATCTCATTACTCACAAAGATCATATTTTCCTTTAAAAATCATTTACAGTAATTTCCTTAAAGCTAATACAAATGATTTACCTGTAATACACCTCTTACCTCTTGGTACGTACAGTCTCACACTGTGCTACCCCTTCGCAGAAATGAATCTCATTTTTCTGACTTTAAGGCTGTTACTTTTATTTATACGCGATTCGTGGTTTAAATACTCTTCAAAATGAAATAAGACTGAAAATCAAAGTGATGTTTTATTCTAAAAAAAGAATATAACAAATGAGGCTTTCGGGTATGGGAAAATAATATTCTTGTTAATATTCAAAATAACAAGAAACATAAAAAAGAATATCGACATTGACGTTTGTCAAACTAATTTCTGAAGAAGGTTTCGAGAATTCAGCAATAGGCCTGCATAACTAACCCTTCTGTACATTCGTGTTCAAGCACATTTCGACATGCGGTGCAAGGAGTAAACAGGTACGTTGGGAATATGGTGCATGCAGAAAGTCATAAATTCAGCCAGTCGGCGCACCTAAAGATCAAAGCCCCTGCTGGTGACTGCTGCTGCTGCCGCTTAAAACAGCGCATCCAATGGGCGTGTAAGTCTGGAAGTCTAGACACGATCGATGATGGAAAATAAATTAAGTCTTTTAAACTATGCATGTACCATTTTGGCATATAAATGGAGTACCACAAGGAATTGTTTAAAGACCTATCGATACGCTAAAAAGAAAACAAAAACCAAAACCTCTTATTTTTCCTCACAAAGCTACAGGTAATTTACTTTAAAAACTATTTTTCTTTTGTCCAAATATACAATGCTACACTAAGTTCTTTTCATATTCAACTAACAAGATGAAATAACTCTACATATACATTAAAATACCGGAGTTGTATCTGCAATACGTTTTCCTATTTCCAATTCTTCTATCGTTATAATGGGGCGAGTAATTTTGCAGTGAATACCATTTTCAAGTTCTCTGTTTAACCGATGAAAACCTCTTTAATATACTCTATGATTTATAGTTGATTGTTTTCTGTAATTATAAGTATAAAACAATAAATCATACGCTTAATTTCACATTAATCACACACACAATATATACATAGATGTATTATGTCGGAACTATGGTTTTGCTGAAAATCAAGGCACATATACTCAGGCCAGTTAGCCTTGCTGTGAGCGTTATTCTCCATACTAGACTGAACTGCATGCCCATTTAACATCTCCACAGCAAGGCCACAACTGACGCGAGCTATTGATCACTGCTCATTGCACATCATTTCAACAACATTCGAGTCGCAGTGTTTTCAATACATACATCGACACGTTGTTTAAATCACTATCAATCACATTATGTACAGTGAAAATCACTATATGATGATATTCAAAATAAGCGGCTGCCATGTCAATATAGGGACAACAATGTCTTGAATTTGTCGATATCTACCTCTCTATGATAACATGGCTCAGAGTGTAGCAATATTAAAGCCGGTCTCGGGCTTACGTCTGGACCTGTGTTTAATCCAGGGCATTACGGCAACGTACAATCAAGGTGAATCGATCAAACAGTTTGAGGAAGTTCAGGTTGACTGCAAGAAGGGACCGTCCCATTCGAACATCATAATATAGCAAAATCTTGGCAATTACCTGTTTAAGTTTTGTTTAATTACAACTTACAGTAAGAACACTTTTTTTCTGGAAATAAACACGGACGGAACATTTCTTACAATAGTTTACAAATAATGCGATACATGAACAATCAAAGAACTGGTTACACATCACACCAAGTTTCATTTTGCTGCGATCCTTTCTTCTTTAACTTCAATATTCAAAAGCTTTGTCTCATTAAAACACACTTTCTCAAATTTCTTTTCCACTTCTCAATTTCTTTCTCTTGAAATTTCCGAGTATGTTTTCAATTTTGTTTCGGTCGACACGAAAGACATTACTTCCTATATATCTCTTTTTATTCAGAAGTATACTTTGGCTTGACAAAATACTCTCGAAGTAATGTGTTTAAAAACAAACAAAATGGCACAAAAAATTATAAATATACAAGGCCAGTAGTCTTTTAAAAATGAACTTGATTATGGACATTCCTGGTTAGTTATGTTGTGTATTAAAAATCACGAAGTGTATGGTCGTCGTGAATCAAAACTCCCAAGAGAAATTCCTACCCAACAATTCTTTATGCAGAAAGTTATTGAAACAAGTGAATATTTCATTTCATCTCCCAAACATTTTCGAAGATATCCGTGACTACAGAACAGCTGCCCATAAACTGTATGCATATGAGCGGATCCAATGGGAGGAGGCTAATGGAGGCCATGCTGCCCGCTTCCCAAAAGGGCGCAATTCTTGGTATCAAATAATGAAAGGCGATTTTGGGGGTAGATTTCATTTCCATTCCTTCTTAAAACGTGAAAAGGCAGCAAAATGTTGCCTAATCCGTCGAGGATATAAATGGTTACATGCAAAATTCCCAAAAGTTTCTTTTCCCACTCCCCCCCCCCCAAAAAAAACCCGGTTCTGATATACAACTAGCGCTCTGATCCACTTGCCGGACCCTAAATCACCCAAATACAAAGTAACTACGGGGGAACAGAACAAACTTTTTTGAAATAAGTATTTCCAAGCATTTAAAAATAATTTTATACCGGTACTTTCCGAATTGGAGTCCATTGTTAGGAAATCAGCACAGAAAGGCAAACATGTTAAAAAGAAGATTATGTGATTTACCCTCTGCCCCCCAAAATGAGAAAAGAAAACAAATCTGTTTGTGTTTGATTTGAAATACAGGGTCTTGACAGTGATTTGCCCTTACAAATTTAGGGAAAAGGTTCACATCACTCGTCAAAAATTGCTTCAATTTTAGTTTTGCAAATTAAAATCAATACCTGGAGTTGCATTCCTTAGTCATATCTGTTGTGACTTGAAACCCTGAATGACATGATTTTATAACAATCTCTAAGAAAGAATTTTTGTTCCACTCAGTGGCGTATCCAGGCTATGTCGCTTGAACAGGATGTGCAACCTTTGGCCCCCCCCCCAAAAAAAATTGTTAATAATAAACCACTAGATAATAACCTGTCAAAAATCAACAATCTGACAGTGTTACTTGGCTTGTCGATAGACAGGACTCTGCGTAAACTAAATTCGCTGCATAATTCACCAATGCTCGAAGTTAGAACAACGTGTTCTCGAAGTTAGAACAACGTTAATAAAAACTAAAGATGTCATGATGGTTGGTATGTTTACAGGAAACCATTAGTATAATCTTATCTTGTTTTGCTGTAATAAACTTGACTGTAATCAATTCACCTTAAAATTAAAGTCTGTGCGTTTTTCTTTAATTTATCACGACAGCAAACGATGACCCATCAATTCTATTTTAAAGTAATTCTTATAAATTTCTCTAACAGAAAACAATCTCCCTTTAAAGGAAAAGAATAAATATTTCCACTGTTTATTCTCAAAAAAAATCTTTGGCATCCAACCATCTGGAAGAACCAATTCAAAACCATTCTGCTACATGAAAAATTTTACAATCTTTTGCGGATTGAGTTGCAATAAAATTATTCACTGATAAACGAAAAGAGTCAACACATTCCCGAAACGTTCATGCTGATAAGTTACACTGAGACGATTTCCAAAAATATGCAGACTTTCATGGGATGATTATGAGTACCCCTTTCCCTAGCTTTGTTTTTCACAGACTTTTTCACGGTCAGTCTGAAATTGACAAGACGTGGTATTACTTTGGTTTTCTGTCCAATATCATTTCAGAATCACTTTGAAAACTGCCGTCTACATGATATCCTAAAGTTATCTTTAGTGCACGATATATTTGAGATCGAAGGGTTACAAGTATTAAATGTAAACTTTAAATGTCACGCAAGCAAAGCACCACAGAGAATGCATAGGTCTGATGACTTTTGCTGCGTTTGACGTACAGATCCCTGAAGAAAGACACAGAGTGAATGCTCTGATCGCTCAATACCTGTTGCATAGAATAGCATAGGTTGAAAGCAAAAGACTGACGGCTACACTAAAACCGTACATACAAGCAACACCAAATCCTTCAAAATCCAAAGAGAAGTATCAAGATGCACTTGCATTAGGAATAGCCTGTCAAAGAATCTTGCCTTTAGAGGTTCAGAAAACTAACGAAAAGTTGCCTGCTGAGTGATAAACCATGCATTGTACCTGGTGATCATGCTCAACATACTGCATCTCTTCCACTGAGTAATGTACCCTGTTGCACAGCCTGCAAAACCAACTTAACTTCTCTCTTGAAAGCCCTTTTCTTGAAATCTAACGCTAAATACACACGCGAGCACAGCAAGTTAACATATTAGTCAGGCACTAAAATTACACATCATAATAGTATTCCATCTGACCTACCCGTTGTGTCTTAAGATCATGATTAATTATATACACCTTTTGAGCTGCAAAAAAGGGAAAAAACTCTGGTTCACTGGAAGACACTTTGCGATATCAAGTAAATGGGTCGACACTGTTTTCAAATGAATACCTGCACTGCTGAGCTCCTTTTAGCTGCAATAACACCACAAAATTGCTTGTTTTACATTTGCCTGAAACTATTCCTGAAAAAGTCTGAAAGAATCTTTTCTATGACACTCTGATGTTAAGAGGACAATGCTTTAAATGTGGTGTAGGATAACACCCCTTAAATGCATGTGATGTAGGACAACACCAAGGTGTTCTTAAGAAATTCAAATAAATTCTTTCCTAGTCAGAGCACAAATTTCAGCAAGTATCTCTAGGATTTTCCTTTCGTACACACCAGCACTTCTTGGATTTTGTTTCACTCGTTTATAAGGTCATAAACATGTCCTACGACAATGATGTTTAGTTGCCTTTTATCCTGACACACCAAAAGAAAAACATAATCAATAATTTAATATTTGTTTACATCATAAATATCTCATCGTTTTATCCATGCTTATTTTAATAGCTTCATTCCATATTCTCCTTGATATTTAAACCCATCCTGCCTATAGTATTAAATTTACTTAAAAAAGGTCTCAAAAAGCAAAGAAAAAAACAAAACAGAGGCCTCTTAATATCTTCATGTCTGAAGAGCTGTTATTTTTTATCTTTCTATCCTGGCAATAAAGAAGTTTTAAGATCTTTTCTCCTCTTCTGACATTACCCTTTCCCTTTCCCTAAATTTCATGATTTTTAGAGATTTTGGATTTTTTAAAGATTTTTTTTGAAATCTTGTTTTTTTAATATTTATGTTATTTTTCCCTTTTCCTGAGCATTTTTCCAGGATAACCAAAGCTTTCCTCTGAACTTTTCTTCCTTCAAGGCAAAGCAAACAGCAATTTTTACACCAGCCACCGCAATTGCTCCCAAGTGCTTCTTCAACAATAAACAAGACTCCACAAGAAACTCTACTGTCCCTGAATCATTAACCCCAACCTCATTAGAAAAAATAACCTGTACAAAAATGGAAACTCTACTGTCTAACAATCTAAACTATTGTGGTTCTCCAAACTACCATTATTTATATCACAATAGAAAACACCCCAGAATACTAACCACTCAAAAACTAGTAGTCATATTTTGGGATGTTTTTATCTTCCTCAAGAGTATGAAAACAGACATAAGCCTTACCTATGCACGCCAAACCACACACTCAGTGAAACCTGCTCAAATTATCTCATTCAATCATCAAAAGGAGAAATTAGCACTTACGTTCACAACATCATGTGCAAGTTAACATCCATGGTGTTTGTCAGTGTATCTCTACTTGTTTTGTCAGATGTAGTATGAGATAATTTAACCATGTCAACAAGGATATCATTTTGCTGGTGCTATGGTGGTTGGATAACCGTTGATTGCCATAACCCCTGTTGGTGGGTGATCGTCCATCTGGGCTAAGGTGTAATGCAAGCCATCCACTGTGCTGCGCACCATCTTAGGTGCTCGGTCCCTCCGCGGCATCTTGATGGTACGCTTGGGTGCAAACCTGTTCTGGTGGATAGGCATCTTAGGCAGGAGGTGAGGCATGGCACTACTGGGTTCTGGGTAGGCCATCTCAGGCGGTAGGTAAGGCCTGGGTGGTGGCAGGTGGGCGGCCACTAGGGGTAGTGGAGGAGGCGGTGGTGGGTGTGTATGATGATGGCTAGGCATCTGCTGCTGTTGCTGCTGTGGCTGGAGGGAGTCCATGGATATTATGGCACCCTGGTGAGAGCCCCATGGGGGGTAATACCGTACCTCTGTGGTCAAATACGCAGGACAAGGGAGTGTCTTAAGCTATCCACTCCATGCACGACCCCTTGGGTGCAAATTATCACACTCCAGGGAAGGAGGGGTAAATAACTTGAACATGTATGGAAACATCACAGTTTCTTAGGCAGACAATTTTTTTTTGTTCATTTTGCATGGATCGGATAGCAGAATTGTGACAGCTGCAGGCTTTTTTTCCTTTTCTTCTTTAGTGATGAATTTTCTCACAAAGTACTCGTAAAAGACAAAAGTATTTTCATTACAATTAAAACTTATTGGATGATGCCAAAATTCAAGGGGTTGACTGAATTCTTAATGTACCAGTACCAGTAAATTTTTCAGATAATCAACTGTGCTATGTACAAAATACAGGTAAACTTGCACTGAGTGACAGAATCAAATGTCCAGTTGTCAGAGACCCAATTACACAATAAACTAGGGATTAATATACAAAAACTGTACACAACACACTATACACATCGTTTCCAACTTAAATGTCAAACTGTACAGACAAACACAACTGTTCAATGTTACATGTATGAACGTTTTCCTTTTAATTATCTTGTTTGGAGGGTGAAGCTAAAAACATTGAAGTGACTCACCTCCTGCAAAGGTGAATACATACAGTGACTTACAACTAATGAAGTGCACTGAATTGGCACTCAAGCAATGGTTCCCACAGTCAAAATGATCACTAACACGCCCTCTCTTAACATTTAGCTTTCCCAGTGCCAGCAGAAGAGGGCTCACAGCTCTTCACACAGCCACTATGTTATGCAAGGAACCGTATCAAACTAAGCATAAGAAAAGAAACTTACCTCGTTTTGTGAGGGCTCCATGAGTGGCATCTCAGGCACATCTGCAGGTGTCTGGGCATAGGCTGGGGTAGGAGCTGGGTACATGGCCATGTCAGTGCCCGGGGTTGTAGCATAGAGAGGTGACACCATGCCACTTGTCAACCCACTAGCTGCCTGCTGCACAGATGAAAATCATGACACTTTGCTTAAAAAGTGGAGATTTCACGCCCCTGATTTGATAAATATGAACTAACCAGTCTCTTTCTACTGTCCCTTTACATTTTCATTGGGCACTGAAAGAACAGAATGTCTGAATCAAATGAATGTAAGGACCACAGGGCTACAATCCTGAACAAAATTGTTGGGACCTGTGTCAGTATAGCAAGACCCTTCCAGTCCCCCTCCCCCTGTCAATGTGGTCATCTCGAGCTGGGGCATAGACTGGAGTGGGGGCCCAGGATTGTCTGAATTGGTTCATAGTTGTGTATGTGCATATACCATGTTGTTTTGCATGTGCTTTCTGGCGTTGTTCTTGGAAAACATAAAACGGCAGGCAGCGATTGAATAGAAGGTATCTTTTGGAGAAATTGTAAAAGTAAAAGAAAAAAAAATGAGATTTGGCCAGGATTGTAGCTATGGCAACTTACCTGAGGATGGACCCATCTCCATTGGCCTGGAATTGTGGTCCACTGAGGAGTAGTCTGGTCGAATAAAAGAAGACCAAATGGGGAAAAAATCAGGCAAAAACAAAATAAAAAACCTGCAACTCTACACATGAAAAAGAGGTGTTTTTTTTTTTTTGGCCTTCCTGTCCATATTTGTTCTGGCATGTCATGGAACATAATACGGTGAAATTTAAACCCCAAAGCTAGACTCATACGCACACTTTTCTACATCAAAAAGCCATACACAAAAATCAAAAGCTGTGTTCTAGACCATAAATCTCAGGGATGGTGTAAAGCAAAGCAACCGGTGAGTGCCATGCTGGTAGTGCTCATGCTCCAAGCTAGGGGTGGAGCTTGATAAAGCCATGGGAAATGGGGGGAGGTAAAACACACATCTAACTCACATTGATAGGTTGCTGGTAGTACTGGCCCTGCTGGGGTTGGGAGGTAACAGGAAGGTACTGATGATGGGAGTGGGAGGTGGGCGGAGCTTGTACCATCACTGGCACAGTGTACTGAGGGTATGCCATCGACGGCTGTAAGAAAGGAAAAACAACATCTCTATGGTAACCTTTAAATATTGTACAACCTACTTGACCTGCAGGTCAATATAAATTGAATATATATCCAGTATATTTCACCTCTGGATCTTATTACTATTATTAGTTATCACCCCAATGCATGTGGAACATGGAATAATGAAGTGCGTCTGTGTCCCGTATGCAACAAGGCCAAACACCTTACATTATTCTTAGTTCCACGAGTGCGAGCATATAACAAATTTATCTTCAAGCAAACTTGATGCAAGGTAAAGAAAGTAAAGGGGCCTACGGGCGCTTTACATTAAAAAGACAAAAGAGAATTTACGGTGAACAGTAAAAACAGTAACACTGATGCACCAGAATTCTATAATTTTTTTCCAGGGAGCATGGTAATTATTTGTGTTTTAACTTATTTCAATGACAACAGCCTCAGGGCTTACACTACAAAAGGAAATTGTTAAAATTGTACGTGCATTTAAACACATGTGATTATCAGCATGGGCAAACATGCCACTTATGAATTTACAGTCATGCAGATGTGCGCTTGCTTTTAGCGTAAAAATAGTGCAATGCGTTGAGTTAAAACAGCACATTATACAGGATTTGATATGAACCGTGCAGTATGGTTATATATCACACTGTTTGTTGCCATGAATCGACCAACCACAATTGAGAATTCAAGTTTGCCTGAAGGTAATATTATTATTAATTTCTGGTAATAACGCTAAGAATTCCTCAAAAGTACTGTACATGTAGCTCACCGGCCTGAAAAAACCTGTAGAGAGGAGACAATGAGAAGCAGACACAGTTGTAGAAGTGGGAGGAAACCCCAGAGGAATATTCGGCGTAAAACCCACAGAATCAGGTAAGACTGGAGACTGAAAACTCAATCACATGTGGACCGAGTCAAGATTTGAATCCGGAATGCAAAAGTGGAAGGCGAGGAAAGAGGCTGTACACCAACCTGACCTCGATTGTCATCCACAAAGAAATTTTAAATTTAATTTTAAAATCATTCAACATTTACAATGTTAAAACGAATTGAAAATTTCTATATGTCAATACTGTGGAAAATTCTATTTAATAACCATTCAGCTCAGATGAACATTAGGAATGAATGAATGGAAACAGCCAACTACATTTGGAGATAAATCATTAAGGAGTAATTAATACAATTTTCATGAGCATCTTTTTCCATGTACATGAGACCCAGGCATGTGGCTCAAATAGACCACATACATGTAGCTTTACTTGCCGGTGCCTTTTCCCAGCCGAAACATAAAGACAGCTGCCTGCTAATGCACAACACTGCAGAACTACTTCGGTTCCTTGCAAGAACCAACTTATTCAATTAAACTTCATTTTTAAACAGAGTTAAGTTTAAACAAAGAAAACCTCCACCAAAACGAAACAAAAAGTGCATGCAGGGTTGTACTGTTGGTACGTGTGATTTGTTTGCATATTCTGCGATTGGAGGATGGAAGTTCAAAACCAACAGAAAGTTTGATACGCATTTACAAGTAACACAGTTAGCCTCTCAAAACATAACTTTTGTTATAAATTAATAGCAAAAATTAACAGGGTGACTTTGTTTTTCAGATGCTGGGTAATGTTACTCAATTAAAAGGGAACAGCTTTTAGTACAAACATGAACGACAACAACATTGAAAATTTGACAAAATACCTATCAAAAGACAGGGGTTCAATATTCCTCTACATTCTTCACATTAAAATCTCAATAAACTTACACTTTTTATACTTATTTTTCAGTAACTTAAAAGAAATTTATATGTATATCTGTGTTAATTGTGAAACTGTCAACAGTGAGATCAATATTTAGAAACACTGCTTGAAAATTAACAAAAACATTTGTTAACATTCAAGTTTGGAACAATTTTGTGCAAAGTATTGGGAGAAAAGAGACCAACAATGTGAGGAATATAATTGCCATTCTACTCACATTAACTGGATGGTGCTGGGTGTGGTGATGCGGAATGACAGCAGTAGCAGGGGGGTGATGTCCATGGGTAGGGGGCCCCTGCACCTCAGCAGGGTTGAAATAAGCCACCCCATTATGATAGGTATAGCTGTACCCTAATGGAGAAGTTAGAACCATCCCGCTGGGTATTAGCGCAGGATCTGGCACCGAGAAGATAACAAAGAAAGAAGAGAGAGAGACCCGTTGCAGAGTCACAGAGCCTCAGCCAGGTGCCCTTTAGGCATGCAGTTGGAACCACACCATACTAAACACTAACATCTCAGTTCTCCCACCATCAGAAGATGGAGGTTGAATTTTCATCTTTCCCAATCAGTGTTGTAGTCAAGACCAGGCAGCTGAGACCAAGACCAAGACCAGGCAGCTGAGACCAAGACCAAGACCAGGCAGCTGAGACCAAGACCAAGACCAGGCCAGAAAAAGTAACTCGAGACCAAGACTAGCCCTCCAAGACCAAGACCACATTTGTGAATAAATGGACAGAAATCATTTGAGTACGTTGACATAAAACTGTGAAGATGGGCTATAAACCACAGAACTACATGTATGCGTTAGTTTGACAGAATTGTCCTGGAATTTGCTTTTTGTTGTTACTTTGCAGTTTGCATTCTTTAATGATGCGTTTACTTTTTAAACTGCTCTGAATGTCACAACATGCATATTGCATGCAATCAATGCAACCTAAAGAGACAATAAAATTACTTTTCCTTTCCAACTGTTTTATTTCTCATTCATAAACACTGGCAGGAAGCACATGCATGTAATTCATCTGTGTTAAATTTTATGACAAGGTTCACAAGGAGACCGGCCTATAGGATTTACATGTGCTTTGGCAAGCAGGTGAGTTTGAAAACACAAAAATACCTTGAAGTAGGAAAAAAATTTACATGCAACAAGTATAACAATATAATGGGGCCTAAATAAAAATGAAGAATGAAAAATAACAGCACTTCATAATTTTATTCATTTCAGCTCAATTCATTTTAAATGATGATATTAAACCAATTTATTTTCAGGCCTTAAATTTCATTTTTTTTTAGGGCACTGCCATTTGGCATTGGTGAACTGGCTGAAGTAAAGAGCACTAATGCCAAACGTGAGGGCATTAATGCCATCAGAGTACCAAAGTTATGGGCATGGATGCCATCCCCATTTTTTTTTATATTACAAGATCATCAATATTCTTTCAGGTCTAAAAAAAGTAGGATACGCATTAAACCTGAACATGTCTGTGATAAGTGCCGAACCAGCAACTGAGTGTTGAAAGGTTTCGGCCTGTTATGGCTGCAGCCATTCTTTCCTCAGCATTTTGCGTACCACAAAAACAGGCCAGGTCAGTGATTTTGCACGTACATGAGAATTAATCAGGGTAGTACCAATTGACTGATGTAATGTATGTACAGTTCAGATCGCGTGCGGCATGTTGCACTAAACTGCAAACACTACATTGCGTGTTACTTGAAATACTGCCACGGCCACACAACTGTCCCATGTGCACGTGGAGCTCTCGATATACTGTTAACACGCGTACATGTAGATGAGCACTTGTTCTAGATTAATATTATTGCATGGTACATTAAAATGCTTGGCTTGGGCATGTACTGTTAGTAAGTCGTTGAATAGGCCGGCGGGTGTCGCCTGTGATGTGACGCGCTTGCGATCGTGCAGTGTGCATGGATAGAGCGGGCCGAGCCGCCGGTGCATGGCAGGCCACGCTGAGTGTACAATATCCCCATTATACACAGTGCACACACGCCCTTGTACATGTACAAGCATGCACGCCATACATTTGGGTGGCACGGTACGGTATTCCAGTCAAATGTGAGCGATCATGGAATGATGTGTATGTCGCTTTCCATGCCGCTTTCCGTGTACCTCGCTGAACAGGGGCAGTCAATATGCACGTGTAAGGTACAACGGCCAAGAGAAAAAAAAGGCACCGCCATCTTGGCGGTGAAACACGCTCACTTTTTGGAGGCACCACAGCCAAATGGGAGGGCACCAATGGCCGTCAGGAAATTCTATCTAGGCCTGTATTTTCATTTCAGGCTAGGGACTGTAATGCAAACATGGCACCACATTCCATTAAAAATCAAACAAGAAACAGTTTTTGAGTGTTTGAACATTTAAACCTTAAATTTAGATTCTTTAAAAATTTAAACAAACATGAGGACTGAAAGATCATTCCTAGAGGTAGCCTGGTACATGAACGTACTTCACGGCGTGATGGCAGTGAACATGTTCGATGAAGGTAGACACTGTTCCTACCTTATTGCTGATGCTGGTTTTTTGTGCAAAAAACACCCACAGCAACATCTTTTTTGCTTCCCATTTTGAAACCAACGTATTCCTTGTGGTAGCTGAATGCATAATGTATGATTGCCGTATTGCCAGACATGATCGCCGGAAAAGACTTTCAGGTAATCATGACATCAATGACTTACGCACCAGCAAGGCAAGGGCACGCGGCAGCACACATTGTGCCAAAAATGCTATCATGGAATGGTGTCTTGTTAGTCAAGTTTGAGATCAACAAACAGTGCATAAATAATCATCTAGTTACCAGACCACGCAATGTGACTACGGGTTCACAGGTACCCCGACAACCACTAATCACATATTTTTTGCGGGCAGAATCCAGTGACAATTATTTTGGGGGCTGTCACACGATATCTTCTTCCTGGTGCAAGCTTCAACTTTGTGTGCGCAAGTTAAACTGCGAGTGCAAAAGCTTTAAACTTTGGTTGCGCAAGTTTTAACCTTAGGTGCATATGTAATTTGCGCAAAGGGTGAAGTTTGCGCATGACACAATAATGCCAACTGTAACCACAACGAACGCTCGTACATAAAGTCCTTAATGGCCGTACCTACGTCTTGCGGGATCTCGATTCAAGTTTTTCGTAGGCCTACAATCAAACTTCATCACCAAGCAGGTATATAAGTGTACAAAGTGTATTTTTTAATTGGTCTTGTACTGGTCTCGGCCGAAAATTCCAAGAACAGGAGGTGACGGCGAGATCAAGACCAAGACTGAGACCAATGACTCGAGACCAAGACCAGTATGTTTGAGCCTGACCACCTTCAAACTGGTCTCGAGACCAAGACCAGTCTCGACAACTACAACACTGCTCCCAATACAACCTTAAGCATGCACTGTTAGTGGCTATCTTCCATTGCATTTCAAAAATCTCAAGACTGTGCAGTGTGTATTTTCCAAATAACTGTAACTGTCAGGGAATCCACTTTAAAAGAAGAATTAAAACAATTAAAGGACAGAATATGATCTGCACAACCTGAATGGCAACCGTCTCTGGCAGCAAACATCTTGCCATCAGTCTTAACATTAAACCTTTTTCTTAATTTGATTGATATCTTATCCTGGCCCTAGCTGCCTACTCAATTTACACATGTAACTGCAAGAGTCCACATTGAACCAGTCTCGAATTTCAGCACAGACTCCCTTTAAATTGGGAACTGTTTTTTCAATACCTGCCCATGCTTGTATGTAGTTTAGCCTATGAGGTTCCTAGTTTATGGCTCTAGTTCATGGAGAGTCACATCTGACAAAACGATTGCATAAATATGTCAAGTTGACTACGTAAATCTGTCAAATGGGGGTAATTAAATAGGTCATTCAAGCCAGGTTGCCAACATTTTTAACTGCTCTTGTGTGAACTAACAAGGAACAGGTGTACAATTTGGGAAACACTTTGACATGGCAATTTAATCAAACTATGCAAGGATTGCCCAACCTGGGTTTGTAATTAATATACTTAAACAAGGATCTCAACTTTTTAACTGAAAAAGTAAATCAAACTAAAGTTATTTAGAAATATACCAAAAATCCACCCACCATTTGAGTTCACTTAATGCAATGACAACCGAACACACACATGAAAAAACCCAGGCTAATCTACCAATCAGCAAACCCAACCCAAAATGCCTAGTTTCTCAAGAAACAAATGGACACACTGAAAACCATTCTTTACCCTTTAACAGTCACAGAGAAGCTGCTTTACTTTTCCTGTAGTGTAACCTACATAGACACTGCAAACTGGGCAGTATTTGCATACCATGAGATTACTTACCTACATTCTTGGGAAGGTTCATAGGCTGCAAATAAAAACACAGTGTATCATTACAGTTGTGGGGACACAGACTGGTAGCAGCAGTGCACAAGTATCTAGAGCAGATTATACAAAAATATTGAGCTCTGCATGTGATCTCATTTCAATGAGTTTGAGACCCTCAAAGATTCTCTCTTTCTTCCAACAGTCAGCTTCCAGACACATGCTAAAATCTTTCAAGTATATAATTTCTCAGAGCAGTTGCTCGTCTGCCTCTATGTAGGACCCCGCGTAACTAGTCTAGCTTGTGGAAAAACTTAACATTATTAGTAACTAAAATTTTCAACAAGATTCTGAAAATTATCAGACTAATACTGATGAGGTAATAATTAACAAAAATGTGGCAAAGAAGGAAGCAAGCCTTATATAGCAAAATATAGTTGTATCACTATTTTTTGTCAATCACCAAGCCATCAAATACTTTCACAGGATTTGCAATGCGAAAAAACCTCACAAGCGTGGGTTCGAGTCCCACCCGAGTAAGCTTGTGAGGTTTTTTTCGCAAGCTCTCGGACAAGCACTGAGCATACAGTGCTTATTAATATACGTTGGGTAAGGGCAAAACCTGTTACATATAAAAGTAAAAGGTGTATACACTATACGTATTATACTACAATTAGAATCATACCTGTTTGCGAATGGCTTGACCAATATTGAGCTTTTTATCTTTGAAGACAAGATTATTTGCCTGTAGTAGAGATTGATGGATAAAAAAATAAAGGTTTTCTCCCTTTCTTGACTTGACTGTGTATTAACATTTTATAATGCCCACTGAGAAGTGAAAATACCTGCTGCGTAAATCACACACTAGCACCTACATGTAGATACAAGACAGTTTAAAATCTGATTGGTCAAAAGTCTGTGTGCATGCAGTGCACTTCCCACTGGCCCTGTGGGCCACCAAGATTGAGTTAATTTCGACCCCTGAAGTTTATATAGGGAGATATAGGGACAAATTGCAAAAGGATACCATAAAATGGACAGGGGTGTTTGGGAAAATGAAAGTAAGATTCTAAAACAAGATCGTTGGAAATCCATCATATATTGACTTATTTCGACTCTCTGACTAAAACGTATTTATGAATGGGAATGAAATAATAAAATAAAATGTGCTTGGCAAGTCTTAAATAAATGTTTAAGACTGGCTCAGGAGACTGAACGTGGACAATCATTTAGTCGCATCCATTCTCATGAGCCGGTCTTAAATGCAGGTTTAACACTGGCCAAGCACATGTATCAATAATGATTTGAAATAGTCTCATAAAGCACAACACTTTCCCATTTTCCATTCAAGCTTATAAAGAAAGTGACTGGGCGTCAGCACAACTGTGGACTTTGGCCAAGGAACATTCCAAGGAATGTAAGCTGAATGCAATGTACAAACGTGTGTGTTCGCAGTATTATCTTTTAACCCTGTACAACAAATCTGTAAGAGTTCCTACAACTATATTCTCTACATAATACATGTACATCCAGGCAAAAACACCAAATTTCATTAACAGGGTCTGAACCCCATCAATTTACTGAACAGACCTAGAGTTTGATGCATAAAGCCACATGGCATATGTGAGTGGCCACATACCTGCTCTTTAAGAATCCTAACAGCCTCTTCCTGGGATTCAAATGTGATGAAGGCATACCTGTACAGGCCAAAAAAAAATCAAAGTAAAGACTTCTAAAGCATCGTCATCATTATCATTGTCAGTACCATCATCATATAGACTGTGACGTAGGACAAGACAACATGTGATCATCATGCTGATAATGCCAGACAGCTGGTAACCCAGGATCGTCTGACTCATTGTGTCATCAGATGAAGCATCACCAGGGGACCATTCAAAATTTGTCCCTCTTCTTCATTTAGGTAAACAACAGACCCAGTCTCTGCAAACCTGAGCTTGGTGCTAAGAATTCTCTGTAAGTTTTGAAGATTTTAAAAAGTCAGGAAATAATCACATAAACATCCCTTGAAAACTAGTGGAAATCCACTGAAAAAGTGACATTTTTGGTATAGTAGAAGTGTCCGTCTAGCAAAACTTTAGATTGGTGGCCATTCGTTAAATAACTCTGATCACTTTCCCACAGTTACTTTCCCAATATGACAAGTCATTTCAAAACTACTGGAAATGCATTAACTTGGACATCTACTGTACTATGGAAATTTTCCCCAGAAAACTTAACACTTGCTTGTAATTTGTCATATTGTGTTGATCTTGTCATATTTGATTTTGTTTTGATCAAAAGTCTAACCATGATTCCTTGAAATCCTCGTATTCTTTCACTACAGCAATTAGTATTATGCCTAGGCTGGAAGCACATCTTTCAATAGGACTTGCTTTACATGGTTTCTGGTAATAAGAAATCCCAACGTATTTTCATTTCGTAGATGATGAAAGTACAACAAAAACTGTGATGTAACATCTTCAATCTTAGACCCCTCTAAAAAAATAAATAACCTGGAAACAGGTCAAAAATGATAATTACACAACATTCAGCAGCTGACACCAAAAGAATCTTCCTGTCCCGCTAAACTGCTGACATTGACAAATCCTGTTATGGAGAGATATTCTGAGCCTCTGCACTTTTCAACTTCCAGCTCTTGGTATTTAGGGTCTAGATGTTTATTGCTATCTATATGAAGCGCTTTATTTATTTTACATGGGTGACAGAGACGGTTGGACGCCATGGAGTACACTTCGGCACGGCTTTTTTGGTTTTAAGGACTGTTTTTTAATATGGAATCATCTGAGAAGATGAAAGTGGCAGCTGGACTTGATGTCATATCTGAACAAAAATGTCAGGGTACACACTGAGGACACCTGGAGTTTGGGTGACTTTAAAATTACTCCAAAGATGATTGAATGAGGTCTGGTTTCACTAAAAGTTGCGGGGGAAATGGGAATCCAGCAGGTATGCACATGTACCTGTATAAGGCCATAAGTACAGAAATACAACTCTAAATCAGCTTTCCTAGCCATTTCAAGAGACAACCTTAATAGCTGAGGTAAATGTGAGGTCAAACAACAATGTATTGCTTGACAGGCTAAAAAATGACCTACACTTAGTGCCCTTTAATAGGCAACATTGGGTCAAGGCTGAGAATCTTGTGCTTCTGGTTAATGAGATTGATGTGTGATCTGCAACCCTTGTTTTTTTATTTAAAAAATCCACTTTTGTAACTCAAAATGCTACCTTAAACTATTCACTACTCATCATCAACGTACAGCTCTGCAGGCAAAGCAATTTACATTGCTGGGGGTTCACTGACCTCAACTACCCTAGCATTCCCTACCCATCAACTACAACACACTGTTTTCCTTGCTAATGCACTCGCCACATGAAACAGCGGGATATTTGGCAGAAGAGCAGGGACGTAAAGACAAAACAACACACCCCATTCGTTTGTCACCTACTGTACTGCCTCTCCTTAAGGTCAATCCCAATTATTATATAATATGTTTGGTAGGATTGTACAGATGACAGAAGGAAAGAGTCAGTCAAATACTCATTTGGCCCAACAAAGTAAAAGTCGTGCTTCCTATTACATTTGGAGAAAAAAAAAAACAGCTTGGGTAGGTGAGTGGTATCTTTTTTTCTTCAAAAGTTTTTGGGTAAAAAATTCTAGGGTTGAACTTTTTTATTATTAAAAAGTGATTTCAAGGGTAAATGAAAATTTTTCGGCTATATACGAATGATTTTGATTCGAATATGACAAGCAGCAAAAGACAGAATGCAATATCTGCGGTCAAGTGACTTAAAGTGTCCGTAGAAAAGTTCGTTGAGTTTAAATAACTCATATAGAAATTACTATCTCCAAGCGTCTGTAAAAACATGCCTTTATCTACAAAATCATGCCTATATTTACAGGAAATGAAAGACGAAGAAATTAAGTGATACAGACAAAACTTACACAAAAGATTGCATGGTGAACGCTCCTCCCAAGCCTGCAGCACACTGTCTGCCACCATGATATGTGCAAGCACAACGAGCAAGCTTCAAACACAATGTGCGTGACATGAGGTGCGAGCGAGCACGATACATACATGTAGTCTGAGCCCCAGACTGCTTTTGCATTTAATATCAACGATAGGTTACGTACAGTGAGCAGACAAAATGCACAAATGAATAGCAGCAATGGACAACAGAGGGCGTCATGTCACTCTGAAGGGTCCCCGCGTAAAACCCATGCATGTGGCATGCGTTTAGCGCTTGATCACGATCACACCGACAACTGTCACGGGACCGATTAACATGTGAGAAACATGTCAATTTTCAAGGGAAAAAAGTTTAAAATCTAAAACAATTACAAAACTTTGTGTATAAAAATAAGCACAAGGGTTGGCAACAGGACTTCTTATTTGAATTTTGTTTCAATAAAAAGATTTTGGGTCAGCACAATTTGCTAGGTTGGGGTGGGTAACCGGAAGCACAACTATTATTTTGTTTGGCCTAAGCTCCCTGACAATCATCCACTTGAATACAGTACATTGCAACTGACGGTTAACTCTGTGAATTAAAAGATGGGAAATGTGAAAAGAATTTACGGTCACATTTCACAAGGCATGAAAATAATTTCACACTTGTGTGAAAAGACGTGAAAGTGTTTTTCTCACTTGTGGGACACTGGGAATTTTTTCCCCAACTGTCAGATGTATGACAATTTTTTTATCCACTTGTGGGAAAATCTGCGAAAATCTTTTCTCAGTTCGGGAAATTTCACAGTTGAATTCTCTGGGAAGAGAAAAGATGTGAAAAGAATTTCCCATTGCCAGGTTAACTTTCTCTTGCAACGTACTGTAAATGTTAAAACGGGGCTCTGCAGAATTGAGTGATGAAGAACAGGTGAAAACTGCTTTCCGCACTTTACATCATTTTTTGGTTTTTTTTTATAAGATACGCATAATCTCGGCTGATGGGCTCATCAATAAAATTTACAAGATTTTCACTGTGACTTACCCTTTTGAAACACCAGCCCTGTCTGCAATTATTTTGGTTTCTTTAACTCTTCCATAGTGTGAGAAGAAGTTCTTTAGTTCAGCTTCACATGTCTGTGGAAAAGTTGAAAAGAAAAATATATTAAAGGGGGTCCAAGAATTCTTTTAAGCATTGGGTGAAAACAGGAAAAAATCCTCTTCAAATATAATTCAACCTGGCAGCCTGTTTAACAGTTATTCTGTTATAAACATCTCTTCAAGCTCTCAGCTCTGATGATCATTACTCAAAATACTGAACAACCTTGACACGACTTCATGCACCTTGGATTGGTTAAACTCGGCTTAAAAATGACTCCTCCAAGTCGGATCTTTCCCATCACTTCAGAACGCAACAGGAATATTAGCATAACTCAGGAAATTAAAAATAGATATCTGCCATTAGAGATGCCTTGCCTAGCACAGACTCCAAGACAAACACTCATGTTTACTTAGCTACAGTTATCGCTAGAACCCCACTACCTCTATGTTGAAACTGATACTGTGGGAAAAATACAAAAAATGTCTTACGTTAAACGATATGCCTCCCACAAATATCCTGTTTGGGATCATGGTCCCATACTTAGGGGCGTTGGGGGCACTAGGAATTGGGGACGATGCTGTGGAACTGTTGCTACCATCAGCAGGCTGTGAATGAAAAAAAAAGAAAGACAATAAAAAAAACACTGAATGTGAAGTTTTCCTAATTGTTTCCAAATGTCAAATCAGTAGCACCAACAAAAACAAACAATAAATATCGTCATCTTTGAGCCCTGCCGGAGTTTCTAGATTCAGCAGGGCTAAAGACGAAATTGTTTACAGGGGTATTTTTAAAATAAGATTTGAGTATTGATTTAAAATGTAATTTCTAAGCAATTAAAGTAAACACCTTATATGAATCTTGGCTGGTTTACACCATTTCAAATTGATTTCCATGCAATGAAAGTTGAAAAAAAAGTAGCATCCTTTTTTCTCAAGTTCTATACAACTGTAACGGGAAAGTGTTACTGAATTCATCAATTTGTCAACTGAGTGTAGGCCTACATGTTCTATACATGTAACTGATCTCACATTTCTCGCTCAGCAGGGTGTATCAACAAATCTGTTTTCTCTATTCATATCGCATTTTACTGCTACATGTACATGTACATGCATGCTGTGAAGAAATTGAACTGTTTCACAAACATTTTGAAGCAAAGCAAAATGGTCACTAAAATATGCCAACGGTTCTGAAAACTCATTAGCCTAATCCAGAGCTCAGCTATTACTATCTCCCAGAAAAAAGCAACTACAAATCTTCAAGTCAACAAAGAAAGAATGACCTGCTAGTCCTGTGCAACCAAGCCACACAACTCCTGCAGACTGTTGCTCAAAGGCAAACCTCATCTCTACAACATCCATTTTTGGCCGTGCATCATCAGTTCATGGCCGTGGCCGCTCGGCCCATACAACTGTACATGCATCTCACTACAAGAGTCCACACATCATAAACCACACCAGGGTATACTACATGTAAGTGCATACATCGTCTACTTCTAGTGCAATGCACTAGACACACCAAAGAGATAACACATGACTTCAAGCTGTATCTTGTCTCCAGGAAGGCTCAGATGGCTAACTCCTTCCGTCTACACGTATGCACAAACATCATTTTTCAAGTTTATTTATAAAACAAAATGACAGAAAACTGTGAAAAGGAAAGCATCTTTTTAAATAATGACACCCAATATTTTTCTTCTCATTTGTATTGACATTTTTTACATAAAGAATGAAACTGTTCCTAGAAAAAAGTTGGATCGATGCAATGACATGTCATTATATGCTTCACGCCCATACACGTAAAAGTGGAAGAAGTTTTCAAAGAGCCAGCAAGATTTTTCAAAGCACTCGCATGAGCTATCTTGGCATAGAATGTTCTTAGAGTGTTTTCCCATTTAGTTCTGGACAATCAGCGCTTCAGAATCCTGAAATGTTTCCTTACAATTATGCTGTATTGAGAAGCAATGTTATGTATAAGTGATGTAATGGAACTGGTCTGATAACACCCTTTTCTTTCGTTTCAGAAATATTAATAAAGGGCACAAATTTACAGCACTTAAACTAACATGGGTATAATAATAAATTAATTCATAAATCTGAGCTGACTGTTGTACAGGCCAGTCCCTGGTACAGGAAGCTCAATTACATCAAATAATCTGAGTAGCTTAACAATAAATTTTCACAACTGTTGAGCAAATACGCTATAAATCTAATTAGAAAGCAGCTTTGACAAATGACAACATCTGCTCAAGTTGTACACAACCTTGGTGTTCATGGCACATGATTATGGCTATGGAAACAGTTAGCTGCGGAGACATGCAGGCTGGCACATTTTATTCAAATGTTGATGATGACAGGTCTCAGGAATGTTGAATGATTCTGTTGAGCTAGGATAAGGTACAGCCTTGAGAGCAACATTTGTGGATTCCTACCTTTATCAATCTCGGTAATGCTCCCTTTTATTTCACCTCCTGAATTAAGGGTAAAGTACATGCTGCATGTAAGTACATGTACTTTACCCAATTAATAGGGGATTATCTCCTCAGCATAAAATTGCTTGAGATCCCCACTAGTTAGTTTCTGAACAAACAAAAGAGAAAGAAATTCAGGGGAAAAAACAAGTGGAAAAAACCATGACGCAAGCACAACTTGATAAACCAAGACTTTCTTAATGAGTTGATAAGGCTTTCCAAGAAGAATGCTGAAATATCCAGCACAGTGCATGTTGTGATCTGTTTAAGACATCATGTGCATTACATCAGTGTCTGAGGCAAGGCTCAAGGATAACCAAAGAACTTAGAAGTATGTAGGCCACTGGCCTCAGTGTAAATGGTGTAATCTACTTTGCAAGAGACAGACACTGGATTGGAAGTGGGGTGTCTTTATCAGCGAGAAAATGAGCCACAGGCCTTTGGACTGTGACCAAAAGCACATACATGTAATTTAAAACATTTGGTGGCTCAGCCATGTTCTGGCAGTTACTGTTTTAACGGAAAAGTTTGTGAAATGAGAGTAACTTAAAAGCATAGGGTGTCAAGTGTATTTTTTACCGTAGCTGGGCCTAGCATGAGAGCAGTAATTCTGGGCCCTGTTTTGAACAGACTTCTACTGTGTGGACGTAGGCCTCTGACCAAGTAGTGGAAATCAGTATTGCTATAATTTATTACCAATTTCAATGACTTTACATGTTGTATGCTCTAGAGGGGTTAGGGTTAAAGCTGAATTCAAACTGCATAAATTTCAACAGTTGCAAAATTCTAAAAATGTGAGGAAAAAGTCTTTGTTGTCTCAGGTCTTAAGAGCCCTTCCCGGCCAAGGTTAACAAAGGATCTGTCCTCTCTCAGAAAAATTGTTGAAACAGATAGGCCCTACTCCTTGATGATATCTGGCCTATGGTTTAGAAGGAAATGTGAAGACTCGTTCACTAGGGTGAGCTAGGCTAAAGAAAAATGCGGGCTTTGTAACTTTTGAGCAAGTAAAAACTGTCTGGCCAAATTCCAAATTTGTTTTGCCTGTCCTCACAGTGGACAGGTGGCTAGATAAGACACTACGTGTGTCCTCTAGGCCCAAGTCGGTGAAAACATGGCACAGGGAAAGGAAACTTACTCAGGCCAGGGCACAAAGACCTAAAATGAAGATGGGCGGCTTCAGGCATCAGTACCCTGGGCCCCTTTTCATAAAGTAGGGCCTAGGCCTACTGAGCTAGCCTACATGACTTTCGACAATGCTAAATCAAAGAAGGATAGATTTGATAAGTTCACTGACCGAAGATAGGAAACCATTTCTCACCTAGAAAATCCATAAAACAGAGGTTGACCTACGTTAGTAGTAAGGCCACGGTAATGATAGTGGGCTAGGCCTAAAAAAATTGATTGCGCTTTGGGTGGATTGCTAAAACTTAAAAGCCCATCACCACTCGGAGTTTTATTCACCATCTACTTAGACTGTCCCTAACAACCACAACACATAAACCCGCATTCGAGACCGGCGGTTTGTATGTAATTAAGGCGGATCTTTCTTGACCACATGGCCGGATCTGCGGTACGATTCACCGCTGACGTCTTGACACTCACGCGGTGAAAACAAAAGTCCCGGTCACCTTCGCGTGATCTCAACTGTTAAGTATCTCGATCAAAACAAATACAGTTTTACTTCATAAGTAGAGAATAACAACAGTTTATACTTACTCCAGATTGCACCTCCGTCATGATGGAAAGGTGTCCTGGAAAACCTCAAATGAAATGCCTAAAGTAAAAATTCCCAAGGTATAAACTTGCTGCAATTTAGGCACTGCGTAGTAAAAAAATCCCCGTGTTTCTCAAATCCTATGCCACCGCGACATTTCAATGTATCTATTTTAGCGTTGGCAGACATCAGCTGGACTTGGAACATACCATTCATTCCATTCGTAGGGATGTCCCGATGACTACAAACTCGCATGGCATGCAGAGAATTTCCTTACTACGTTGTATATGTAAGTACATGTCGTCCGCAACCTCAGCAGACATGCTCTCTGGTTGCACTTCTTGGCTAGTTCTCCATTTCAACATTGAATTAAGCCATCTCAAATTAATGTAAATATAGATAGAAACGATGATAACATATGAGGTGAATTTTGTACATCAAAAAAATTATTTTCCATCAAAAATTGAGTGTGGACATAAATCACAACTATAAAAACTTGGAAACGAAATAACCATCTTCACTATCTGAAGCTGTAGTTTTGAATAATTATCTATCATTTTATCACCCGATTGTTTTTCCTATTCCTAATTAAGTTTTCAATACTGTACAAAAAACCTTTAGTTAATGTTCCGGCCCCGGCCCCTCGAAAGGCAGGTATGTAGGTGCGTTCCCTATCAGCGAATGGAATATACCATTAATTTGAAAGCGGCTGTCAAGATTTATTACCCTCGCCATTTGACCACGCCCACTTTCAACTTTTTGCAAGGTTGACCAGACGCCTTCAATTTCGCGCCTAAAATTCACAGACGTTACAGCAAGCCGAGTTATGGAGTATGATGCCACAAAGCACGTCATGCGGTCGAACCAGATAATAATTTTGTTTCAGCAACTAATTTAAGAAAGTAAACTGGCTGTAACTATGGGTGAATAACTAGGAATAATGTTCATTAATTATTGGTGTGATAGCGTAGTAGCTTGCTTTCCTGCAAACGTGACGCCTGATTTATGCATCAAACCCTCATGTCATTAAAACGTATAATTTTGTTGGCCCAGAAATGTATTACACTCGTTTCGGGTCCGGTTAATTATGAAGCGCTATCAAGAATATTAATCAATATTGTCCAGGATCTAGGAGCCCTCTCAAACCCCTTTGAAATGTGGTTCGTTTCCCTTCTTGCAATGACAAAGGGAAAGAATCGCCGATGAATGTCATCTATTGTTCTTAAAAAATTACGAGAGCACACAAACACCGGAGGGAGGGGGAGTTACGTCAGAGGGCCCTCTCCTTTTTTTTTTTCAAACACATATCAAAGATAAAAATGAATCATCATTTTTCCAGTTGTACGCTCTAAGTAAGAGTGTGAAGGGGTTTGTAGAAGTTCTTTTCACCAAACTCACGAAAATTGATTGGGCTTCCATTTTGGAGCAATCATGAAAGGTCCCCCTTTTTCTGCGACCCTGGATGGTTCCAGGTACGGCATCGCTTGTTCAATTTGCATGCGCGCGTGTCACGTGAACAACTAGCCGATCGGTATACGGTGCGCGATACCTATACCACAACAGGCTGGCTGCGGTTGGGAAACATCCGAAACACCAAGCGATTTGTAGAACCGCAGCGATATTGCAAGTCAAATTATTCCAGTCTGATGCAATTTCTCGAACCACATGTATTAAACTTTCGAAGAAAAATGTCGCCAACAGCAACCACCCTGCAATGCTGTAGTCTTGACCTAAATGGATCAAATCATTCAACATTATCTGGCTGAAACAATTCCGACTACAATTCTACACAGAAAACACGTCATTTCTGTTAGGTCAGAAAGCCTCAATGATCTTCAAAGCTATCATGCAATAACGGAGGCACTTCCGGAATAAACACCTGCGTGGTATAGTCTCTGGCAAACATATCTTTGTCCTAAACCTGTCAATCAAAATAAACCTTTCCTTCGAACAGTGGACTCCTTAAACTTCAATTGCTCCAACTTCAGACACGCCGAAGTTAATCACCTCGACTTTCCACGAATGCACCTGGCCTTTTGACAAAACTAGTTGAAAAGAGGTCACCGTTAGTGTCTGATGTTCTCGAGTTCCATTTTTCATGGACTCTCAGTCAACATCGATCACACTGCAAGTCAGTGCGTCATCGCCTTCTCGTGACCTTCCAAACAACAGGTGAACGCCCGGTGAAGTTTCATTGTGGCTAGTACCAAGTTGGCTGATTTTGGGAGCAGGATTAACGCGCTACTTGGGAACATGACATACGAAATTATGCTTGTTATTACGATTTGAATTTTGGGATAATTTGCTCGACTGTCGAATGGTATTTTTTAAAAATTCTGCTTGATGTTTGGGTTATCAAGAATACAAAAACCATTCTTATTTTTGTCCAAATCGTCCATAAAAGACCAACACAAAAGTCTGTTTAGTGCAAAAATCGTTTATTCAACTTCAACCAAGTTTATTAACACGTCTGAGTGTGCAATGGAATGACAGGAAAGAATTCAAGGCATTTGGGACTTTCGTTTTGGACGGACCATTAAACCGAGAAAATATTTACAATAAAGATATTATTAATAGAAAACGCCCAAACTCATGGGACATTTTTTTTTGAACAACGCAACACTTCAAGTAACTTCTCGTTAATGATGATGCACACACAGGTAACAGTACCATTTATACACAAAATGACTGCTGCAACTTCCCGTAGGGGGCGCTATTTTAACAGGGACTATTTTATTACATAATGTAAGTAAACAATGAACAGTCACCTAATTTTTCCTCAACTTGCATAACATTTTTTGACTGGACGGACTTTTATCACTGGCAATGATAAATGCAAAAATGTGTCTTTAACTATACTACGCAAGTCAATTGACAAGATATGTTTTTAATCATGAAGGCAAACCAATAAAAAAGGAAACATATGTCATATTTAAGTTCAAATTAAAACTTGTTAATTATACCCTATAGTATTTTGTATATTTGCCATGCCTAAACTTCTAAAACAAAACATGTTTCACTGTCTCTATTCTGATTAAAACAAACCTCCAAGCAAATAATCTTTAGACAAAATATCTGAATATCAAGGCACTCATAGTCATAGTATTGCAGTACACTTCCAAACTTTCTAGCATACAATTCTGGATAAACCCTTTTTGCAGGTAACAAATACACATAACACTGGAATAAAATCTGTTGTACCATTGAATAAAAAAATAAACCAGATGACACAGTCTGCTCCCAGCACTAGGAAGGAGTGATGAAAATTCTCTTCTGTTCCCATACGCTCTCCTCCAGTGTTGACGGCAACTCCACAAAGGCCAAGAGGACATGTGTGCTCAGCATGGTGACCTCTGACCCCTGCATGTAGACTGGACACCTGTAGCTCCCTGGACTTCTGGTTAAATTATCCTCATTAACATCAGATGCCAGAGATTTAACAGTCGGCTTGAACCAGATGATTGGAAGGGGGGAGGGGATATGAGTGAAGGTCACAGACGGGTCAGGAGGGTGAGGGAGAATGGTGAGGTGACGTTTGGTGTCCCAATCAGCATTGTGGAGTAGGAGACCTGTGATGTAAACACCTTTAGCTGGAGGTGTGGTTGGAGGCTCGTCTAGAGTCATCACCTTTTGAGGATGTCAAAGGGAAAAGGCTAACTTGACAAGATAGGTTCTGGTAAAAGACAGCACGACCAAAGGGAGGCTTCTGTACTCAACAAATCAATTTCTTTTATCCAAGGATCCATTTTGTTGGAGAGACAAGCATGAACGCTTTAAACAGCATATGTAATTTGAATTGATGAGAGTCAATCATGGTTTAATGTAAGCAGAGCTGATAGAAGAGTCCCAGAAACAACTGATCAGTAAATCAACTCCCCAAAGTGAATATACATCCTGCTGTAATGTACAACACCTACCTGTGTCTCTATGATGAGTCTATGGACTTCAATGAATTCCTTCCTTGCATGTTCTTGTAACACACTTCGTAAGAACATCCTGGGGTTTGCGAACATGGCCAAATTAAAGCAAACAGCCCTGTCTCCTTCCCACAGGTACCTCTCCAGCTGCAATGCCTGGCTTTTCAACCTATCTACCCACTTCAACACCCCGGTGCACTTTGGGTGTCCTGGAGGCAGCCAAGACTTGGGCACAGTATCCTGACTCAAAGCCAATAGTGTGTCTTCTACCACCGGGGGTAGGGCAATGATGCCTTGTGCCGATTGCAGCAGTGAGCCGACTTCTGATTGGATGGCTGTGATCGTCTTTTTCCAAAGATTGATCTCAGAGCTTAGGAAGGTTTCAAGGTAGCTGAGGCTCTCAGTTGCAGGTTGATCAAAGGGTGGAAGGTCCTCCAGGTCACGCTTGATAGACTGAAGAAGGGAAACAGTTGACTGCCAGGAATATGGAACTTTCTGTATGATGCATCTCTCTAAGGTCTGTAAGGCACTAGAAATATACCTGAAACAAAACAAATTTGAATGTTCAGAGTCAAAATAGCAGGAGTGACACAAACTCACCTCTATGCATTCCAACATCAATACTCACTAGTTAAGCATCCCAAAGTGAGAACAAACAGAAACACATGTTGCCATTTTCATAAAATGTCAGCAACTTGTCACTGACCTGCCTTCTCTGATCTCCATCATTCCTGGAGTGTCACTCATCAGACCAAGCTGGGCAGGCTGTACCTCATTCTTCATGGTATCAAACACACGCTGTAGTCTCCTGGCCTGGGTTCCGCTGCTAGTGCGACTGTGACGCCCCTGGCTCTGACTGGCTGGTAGTAAGGAGGCTATGAGAGAGGCTGCTCCCATGGATGCTGGCATTTGCTGAAAGACAGAAGCAACTGCAATAAGACTTCAAGGACTGTAAACTATCCACTGCTGCAAAGTTTAAACCAGGGCTGTATGGTTCACCAAGCAGAGGAAACAGGGACAGGGTTTACTTTCACTTGCTACAATATTTAACCTTAAACCCCTAGGGTGTATGGAAAATCATAGTGTAATTGAAGGACAGAGGACTGTTAGGGTGAACACAGGCTTGGTCTACTGTTGTTTCACTGTTCAGAGTAGGTCTCAAGGTCTTGGTCTCTTTCAGGACCTGTTTGTTTCACAACAAAACACTATGAATTGAGGCAAAAGAATGGATTTCAAGAGATAGCTACCTCCACATCTTGCCAGTTCAGGACCAGACTGTGAACCATGGCTTGGACAACTCTAAGGTCTTCCTCTTCATCAACACAGCCTCCATAGACCACACTGCTCAGTAACTCCTGAAGGTGACTCAGACCTTCATAGATATTAATTGGTTGTTGCTGTATCCTCAGCATATCCAAGGCTATAAGAAGATCATTGTGAGACCTGCAATATAAATCCATAAGAACATGGCAAGTACTTAGGAGATCTTATGAAGAAACAAACTCAGGTGAAGTTCTTTTCCGAACAACTATCACTCTTGGGACATGTAGCCACATCAGAATTTCTCTTAGCTCCATTGCCATACTTTCCTTGCTGAAAGAGGTTTGGGAAATTTTAAAAGCAAATCTACATTCAATAAAGACAGTTCAAGTCTTCAAAACTCACCCTCAAACCTCCCAGCACTTATTAGCACTTTTCTCTATTGAGATTTGATGTTTCAGAGAAATATGGAAAAAATTCAAGAAGACAAACTGATCTTAAGTTTCAAATCTGGCGTGAGTAAACCACTTTGTGCATTACTGCATATACCTGAACAATCATAAAATGTTTATGATTTTCAAGTCCATGTATCTTCAAGTATTTGTGTGTCCACTTCAATACTAACCAATGGTAATCCTTGCTAAATCCAATCTGGTTGAATCGCCGTCTCTGTGACAACGCCACGTGTAGCAAGGAAATGCAGAACACCATCTCATTGGTGATCTGCCAGACAAATCAAACCATTCAATTATTATTGTGACGTGCAAGCAACTTGCTGACATGCATAGGAGTTGTAAGGATTTTTTTAGTGAAAGGAAAGGGGGTATATAGAAAGAAAGGTTGAATTTGTTCCTTCTTGGTGCTGGCCACGTTTTTCTGCCATTGTCTGTAGTAAATTATTATTTTAGGAAGGTTAGGGACAGCTACTGATGACAGAGGTGAAGACATGCACTCTTCTCCTAGTTCAGCTACGAGAAACCTTACCAATACATTTTTTATAGAAAAAAACACTTAAAGGTGAACTTGTGACAGTAAACAGTGAAGAGGTTACTTTCTTTTACTATCAAGTTTTATACTGCAGAGCTTTGTGTACATTGTATTCCTCAAGGACTAACTGTAGCCTACCTTGGCAGTGGTTGATGTGACCATGAGTTTGCTTGCTTCAAGAGCTCTCATGCCGTCATTGAAAGCATGACGCAAGGATTCCCGTAGGTTAGCTGTGACTTCACAGGTCACTTTGATGCCATGTTGTAAGATCAAACCTGGACACAAGATGACAGATACGTAAGTACGTAAGACAACAGATTTCTGAATGTTTACTTGTTCAGGAAGCTGTCAGGAAACTATTGTATAACAAAAACCACGGTATCTTCCACAAAAGTTGTCTACTTGTTTACTCTGGGAAAAAAAGAAAAAGGAGGAAACTAATACACAGAATTGGTCATCTGTTATAAATACTGGACACCTGTGGAAGAACTTGTTTCTTGGTGCAAGGAAATCATTCAGAATCCAGAAAGCTGACCTGGCATTGGGTAACGACTGTCTGCCCTCGTGATTAGGAACAGCCTGAACTCGGTGTGTATGCCAGACTTAGGTTCCTCCTCCGGACTGGGAATGGCCTGGGCTTCACTGCCACTCCTAGATGCTAAGCTCTTACTGGACTGCTTAGTCTGTGGCCTGGATGGTGCAGATGGGACAGACGGTGCTTCCTTCCCGGAGGAAACCATTTTCTAAAAAGGAAAACCGCAGCAAAAGTCTCTTACTCAAAGAATCCAGTTAATACTAATACTTAAGTGTGGCTTGAGACTTATCTAAATTTCTATTCAACCAAGCCGTTCAGCCTATATTAATCTCCAAACTGTTATTAGACACTTGTCATTAAGAACCTCCTCCATACTGTTGACTATGGGTTAGCTCTTAGCCCAGTACCTGAATGAAATTCAGAATTTCTTGTCCTTCATCATCCATCAAGTCAAAGTTATCAATCACTAGCCAGATTCCTGTCTCAGAACACTCCTCCAAGGCAAGTAGAACCTTCTGAATCTGTCCCTGTGTGCCAAGGGACACGGTGTGCAAAGTGCGCTCTGGTTTCTGCTGCCGGCAATAACCAGTTAGCTTAGTGATCGGGTGAGTATCAGTGTGTCCTGAAATCAAAGATCAGTCAGTGATTATGTAGAAGCAAGGGCAAGTTGTATATTTCAGTTTTTGTTACTTCACCAGAACAAAATTGCTTTAAAAAAGTTTTATGGTCATAGTACTTGTTTGGAATGTCAACATTTTAAAGACAAGACAGATACAGTGTTTGTTCATAATTTTAAGATCTGATGCTCAGCTGACATTTTTATAAAGACAAAGCTAGGACACATATTGAAACACTCAGTTTACCAAAACTGAAGATTTTTTAACAGGGTGCAACTTTCTACTTCCACCAAGCAATGATATCAACATGTATTCTACCTTCACAGCCACTGTTGATAGCTCCATCCACAGAGTAGCCAGCAGGAAGAACAAACACAACAGGTGTATGTTGATCACAGTGGTTCAAGACATCCTCCACATTACAAAAAGATGGACGAGCAATGTAGGAGCCCAGCTGGTAGATAGTCAGATCTCTGCATACGCTGAACATCTAGAAAATCACAGTGATTGATCACAATTACAAAAGTCATATTCCAATTTGCCTCACTAAAAACTCATCTATGAAATTTACAGAGAGGCAGTTCTAAGGGGCATAGTATGAATGACAATGGTGATATCAAGGTGGGAAGAAGGCTAAAGAATACTAACCTTGTCTGGTCTGACAACCCTCCAGAGCAAAGCTTTCTGCGTGAAGGTGAGATTGGCCAGGCTAGTCCCAGGAATAGGAGCCAACAGGACTGGGTCATGCTACGAACAAAATAAAGACAACTGAATTACAATGCTGTACAGTGACGCAGGAATGTAACCACACCAGAAGCAGTTTTTTCCTAGTTTCTGATAAGCAAGGAACACACTTCTTCCTTCTAACATCGCTCATGTTGACATTTTAATGAATGTACATGTAGACACCTTTACGTCACTGAGTCAAATAAGTTCTTCCTCCTTTTCATTTCCCACAGTGAAAAACTAAAGTCTGCCAGAGGTTTCTTCAAGTCTGATGGATTGCCTGACTTTAATCACAAAGCCTGGTAGATCTTATGAGCTGATTGCCTCACCTCAAAGTATTCCTTCCATTGATGGCTGTGGTTGAGTACAGACCGAGTGAGACCATGAAAGGCGGGGAATTCCTTCTCTAACTGGCTACAGCTAGACCAAATCTATTTGAAAAGTAATGAGACAGAAGGAGTTATAGTGAAATGATCCCTGAGGACTAAAAAGTTATACAGGAAAAAAACAAGTTTGTTCTTCTAATTGGAAAGGAAAAACTGAGAAGAGATGAAAACATTTAGAAAGAATCGAAAAATTAGGAATGTTTTCGCTCTGGTGAACTATTCCCACTGGAACAATAACATTCCACTGGAATGTTATCATATCAGCAGGAATCGTATGCTTTGTGCATAGACCGTTCTGAGGCAGCGTGCCAATGTAAATGCTATTTTCCCAGTAGAATGGCTACCCATTCTGGAATGGGCAAAAGGTGTTCCAAATGGAACTTTCTGACCATTCTGAATTATGAGACTTTTTTAGGTACTAAAGAAGACTCGTTCTTACCTTTTGGGTTATCCAGTCAGGCAGGTTGATGTCCCTTTCTGGTGCTGTTTGATTGGTTATGTTTGCCCCACCCACAAACATCAACCACTCCTCCTCAGTCATAGCCTTGGCTGCTCGCATTTTCTCTACAGCCACTAGGAATGCAAAGAGTTGGGTGTGTGGTTGAAACATTCCCAATGATACTCTAGCCTGGATGTCTAGCATGATGACATTGGTCAGTTCAACTGCCCTAGCTGCGGCTGAACTGATGTCAGCCCGGTTCTTCTGACGTGAAGTCACAGTGGATTGGAACCAACGCACAAACGTAGCCATAGGCACGTAGTAGAGTGGGTGGAGATTGGACATACGTTTGATGACTGAGTACAGCAAGGTACCGTGTTCAGCAACAGGGAGGTAGGGCTCTTGCTTCTGGCGGAGTTGAGCTGCCAGTGTGTGAGTCTGGTGTAGGCTTGCGTCAGTGGTTAACGTACATTGTTGATAATGACTGATTGCATCTGTCATGGTTGGCTCATCCAGTATGCTATGAGGCAGCCCCAGTGTTTTGTTTAAAATGTCCTCCTGAAGGATGAAGTACAAAATCAAAAACAATCTCACTAACGAAATCAATTAGAACATGCAGAGTTATCAACAAAGCATTCAAGACAAGTGTGATGTACTCTTTCAAACTTTAAAAAATTTACTTGTATCTAACCTCAGCCTGTTGTAGCGTTGCCTCCTGGTTGTGAATGTCGCCCTCTATTGATCGCCACTGCCCATGGAATTCAGGTCGTTCTATCAGCATGATATGCTTAAGGAGCCGGTCCGTCAGTCCCTGAGGACTGATTGATAGGTCGATGACTGAGGTATCCTCAATAGGTAAAGGTGCAAACCCGGAGCCTGCGAGGAAAAGTTCAAGGAATATAAGATGTAAAAAATCCTGACCTGATTATTAACATATGCCATGTCTGTGTCGAGTGTCTAGAATTAGGTCAGGGTCCTTGCCAGCTGTGGAAGCCAATTTTAGATATGACAACAGTTGGGATATCCTCTCCTTTTTGGGTAGGAACGTGTTTTCTTAATTGAGCTATATTACCCCATCCCCTTGATTGATACATTCATATTGATCCTAGATCTATACTGATATGCTTACCAGTTAACTCTAGTGGAACTGATGAGCATAAATACAGGCAAAAGCTTGGCCGGTAACCGTACTCTCGGCCTCCAATCAATATCCTCCTCTCTCCTTCCTTTCCATATTTGACATTACGTCGGAGCAGCTCAACCAGCCTGCCTCCCAAGGCTTTACGTTCTAGATGACTGACCACTACAGCTACACCAAGCAGCATAGCCTGGATCAGTCGAATCTCCAAGGAAGGATTATCAGCAGAGATGATCCAGAGGTTATCAGCAGGCTTCTGAACATCAGCGTCATCCTCTGGTAAGGATTCTAGGAGAAAGGAATCATCTTGGAAGGTATTGGAGGCACTGAGGTCATAGTCTCCGTCACTCTGAAAGTTGAAAGAATGTCTCATGTTGTACTGGGTGTCTCCGCCAACGCTACGGGAAATGAAAAAGAATGAAGTCACAGACAATTCTTACAAACCATGAATGGTTAAAATGGTCTGCCAGGAAACATCGGTTGCAATCTGGACTAAGTGCTCCGTCCACTTGAAATCGCCTCAATAAAATGATCTGTATGAACAGATTCTCTCAGTGGAGGAGGCAAAGCATTCCAACTTGGAATGCTGAAGAGAATACCCAATGGAATGTTTTTCCTTGTCGGAGACCTGCCCTGATTCTTTGACACACGTAAAATCACAGAGGTTTCACTTAGTATAATTTGTTGGAGAGGTTGGTACTCACCTGGTCAATGTCCTGGGTGTTTCTGGGTAATCTGTAGCAATATCCCAATCATCCATTGACGTCCCTCGGCTGGTGGGTTTGGTGGTTGGTGTTTCTCTACTCAAACTATCATCCAAATCATCAAGTTCATTTACGTTGGCTATGGATAGAGCAGGTGTTTCTGCACACAAATGACAACAAAAGTATAAAGGAGGTCCAAGTTTGTCTGATAAGGCTCTGTGCAGGTAGTATGAACAGCTCTAGCACACAGGTTCATTTGGCAAGCCAAGCCCTGTATGCAACTTACAAGTTTTGAACCTGATTAGAGTCGAATGGAGAACATCCAACCCAACAACAAATCAATTATAATAAAAACCCACCACTTCCTTCTTCAAGAGCCATTCCCTCATGGAAGCTAACCACACCCTTCTCCTGCAGCAGTTTGACCCAGGTCACAACCTGGTCATCGGGGTCAATCAGCAATGGCCACTGGCGCTGTCTACCAATGCAGCAGGCCCGCATGAACAAGGTGTTGTGGATAGAGGCTCTATCATGAGGGAGGTTGGTGTTGGAGCTCAAGGCTTTCTGTTCTTCCGGTGTGCTCAGAATAGCTGTCAAAGAGAGAATGTTGCAACATTAGAGGAGAGAATGTTGCAACATTAGAGGAGAGAATGTTGTAACATTACGTGTAGTTGGGTGGTTAAAATCCAACACCATGCAATCCCA